CTCATTGAATGCAGCAAAAGCATAAGGGAAGAAATGAAGGCTCTACTAAGGGAAATAAAGAAAAATTCACAGGAAACCAACAGTGAAGGGAAAGAAGCTGGGATTAAAATCAATGATTTAGAAGATAAGGAAGAAATTAACATCAACCAGAACAAAATGAAGAAAAAAGAATTAAAAAAAAAAAAAACAAGGAGAGTTTAAGAAGATTCCAGACCATCTCCAAACATGGCAACATCCAAATCATAGGGATGCCAGAAGGAGAAGAGAAAGAGCAAGAAATTGAAAATTTCTTTGAAAAAATAATGAAAGTAAACTTCCCTAATTTGGCAAAGGAAACAGACATAAAACAGTCATAAAAGTCCAGGAAGCACAGAGAGCCCCAAACACATTGGATCCAAAGAGGTCCACACCAAGACACATCATAATTAAAATGCCAAAGTTTAGTGATAAGGAGATAATCTTAAAAGCAACAAGAGAAAGACAGAGAGTTACCTACAAAGGAGTACCCATAAGACTATCAGCTGATTTTTTTAAAAGAAACTTTGCAGGCTAGAAGGGACTGGAAAAATGCTGACAGTGATGAAAAGCAAGGACCTACAACCTAGATTACTCTGTCCAGCAAAGCTATCAATTAGAATTGAAAGACAGATAAAGTGCTTCCCAGACAAGGTAAAGGCAAAAGAGTTCATCATCACCAAGCCCTTATTATATGAAATGTTAAAGACTTATTTCAGAAAAGGAAGAAGATCAAAACTCTGAATACTAAAATGACAACAAACTCACAACTACTAACAACTGAGTCTAAAGATCAATAACAAAAACAAACTAAGCAAACAACTAGGACAGGAACAGAACCATAGATATGGAGAGTATTTGGAGGGTTATCAGCTGGGAGGGCAAAGGGGGAGAATGGGGGAGAAGGTATTATTTTTTAGAAGCACAATTGGGTAGGTACAAAATAGACAGGGGGATGTTAAGAATAGTATTGGCAATGGAGAAGCCAAAGAACTTAGATGCACTACCCATGGACATGAACCAAGGTGGGGATTGCAGGAGGGAAGGGGGGAATCTGGTGGAGAGAGGCAAAGGGGAAAAAATTGGGATAACTGTCATAGCACAATCAATAAAATATACTTTACAAAAGTAAAACTATAAAAAATAAAAATAGAATTTTAATATTTTTCTAGAATATGTTTAATTAAATTTTTCCAAAGCAATGTGGTGCTTTGAAATTTTATAAAGTCATGCCTTCAAATAAAAATTCATAATAAAAGTAGTTATGATTAGTGAGCAATCATAAAGTGGTAATCTAAAGTGGTAATTCTTAGGAAATTACCTAGAATGTATCGAAGAAAGTTGGGTGATGGAAACTGTGAAAGAGGGAGAGACAGGGAGACAGACAAACTGACATATCTAATCAGAATCTCTGTAGTGACTAGAAAGAAGGAGACACTGCAGGTTTGGTTTCTTAGGAAGCTCTGTCTTAGACAAAGTGTAGCAGGTAAGGTGTTTATTAAGGGGAGCCTTTGAAATCAATTCTTACAAAAGGGAGAGAGAGAAAGAAGGAATAGATAGAGGGAGAAGATGAGCCCGATTCAGGGGAAAAAAAAAAAAACAGCTACAGCTGACCCCACAGGGAGCTATACTGGCTTTCAGAATCATTCTGATTAGGACTTAGATAGTCCTTTATAATTGGATGTTGATCAGTCATTGCATGTAGGCCACCCTTGGAAGAATGACATCGAAGTAATTTCTGAAGGGGCTGAAAGCTAAAGGCTGTCTGTCCACAGCACCCCCAGAAATTATAACAACAGATCCTTCCCCAAAGAGGAGGGATTTCTTATCAGAAACTATGAAGGCTACAAAGAAGGGGCACATTTTTCAGATGCTGAAATAAAGGAACAGTCACATAAGAATTCTATATCCAGCAAAAAAATATCCTTCAGGAATGAAGGGGAAATTAACATGTTCAAGTAAAGAAACACTTAGAGAATTTGTCATCAGCAAAACTACCTTAAGAGAATGACTAAGGAAGTTTTTAAAACATAAAGGAAATGATAAAAGCTGGAATCTGGGACTATTCTGGAGGGAGGAAAGGACAATGTAAAGAATAAAAATATGGATAAATATTGTAGGTTTTATTGCTTCTCTAAGTTTTCCAAATTGTCTTTGCATAACATTATCTGAATTGGTTCTCAATGTATGCAAAGGACATGTTTAAGACAATTATATTATAAATTAGGGAAGATAAATGGAGTTACAGGTAGGTAACTTTTCTACACTTCACTTGAAATGATAAAATATCAACACAAGTAGACTGTGATATGTACGTTTAATGTACCTAAAATGAAAAACAAGTAAGCCATAGGAAGGCAAAAAATAAAACAGAAACATGAAGAACAGAGAGCACAAAAAGAAAACAAAAAAGTGGCAGATTTAAAGCCCTAATATGTTGATAATTACATTAAATGTAAGTGATCTAAATACATCAGTTAAAAGGCAAAGATTGGTGGCCTGATTTTTATGTAATGACCCATTATATATTGCCTACAAGAAACTCACTTCAAATATAGCAGTTTGGGTAGGTTGAAAATAAAAATGGAAAGAATATGCTTTGCAGAGATTAACCAAAATAAATCAGGATTGGCTATATTAATATCAGATAAAGGAGATCTCAGAGCAAGATGATTATCAAGAACACAGAGTTACATTATACAATGATAAAAAAAGACATAGCAATCCTAAATGTGTATGCACTAATTAACAGCTGAAAAATATGTGAAAAACTAACACAATTGAAAGAAGAAATAGATAAATGCACAATTACAAATTCACAATTATAGACTTCAAAATCCTTCTATCAACAGTTGACAAAACAACTAGACATAAAGTCAACAAGGATAAAGAACTCAACAACACCATCAACCCACAGGATCCAATCAATATTTACAGAACACTCCTCTCAACAGCAGAATATACATTTTTTTCTAGTACCAACAAAACATTTACCAAGAAAGTTCATATCCTGAGGTTCAAAAAACCTAAACAAATTTAAAATAACTGAAATCATACAGAATATGTTCTATGACCATAATGGACTCAAACTAGAAATCAATAACAGAAGAATAACAGGAAAATCTCTAAACATTTTACATGTATAAATACATTCATAAATAATCTGTGAGCCAAAGGAAATTTTAAAATACATTGAACTGAATGAAAGTGAAATGTCCTGGCAACCCATTTCATAAGCAGGTAATTATAAGAACTAACTTTCTTAAAAGTTTTAAAATAACTTTTTAAAAATCACAATTTATTTCTCTATTTGAGTTTTGCTGCAATAAATAATACTTTGTTGGCTCCAATTGCTAATGCTGCTCTTGAGAAGTTTCTTAGAATAGTGGACACAGGATTTCAATTTTACTTGAAAAAAAGGCAAGAAAATATTTTATAAAATAAGTATATGATTTATTGATTACTTATCTTTATTGTATTATTCCTCTGCCCAAACATCACTGGCCCCTGAAGATAATACTCAGACATGAACAAGCATAGTAAATTTCCATCAGTTCTGATATTTTGCCAACTTTCAGTCATATAAAAACAGCTTTCTTTATATATTTTATTTTTATTATGAACGTGTATTTGTGAAAAGGAGAGGAAAACATTTCATTTAACAAATTTTAACTTGATTTACAACTTTTAAATATATAGACACACAATTTTCCTATTTCCATTTCTGCTCTTGCCCTGGGCCCAGCAGATATTACGGGTGGGCTCGGTCCTCACCTACCTGACCCTCAGGTCCTTAGCTTCTTTGTTCAGAAAAGGTAGATAACACTCCCGAGTTCACGGATTTGGGATGAACTAGGTATGAGAGCAAGTATGGCTAATATAAATTCCCTCACTCTCCTGAGGGGGAATCTGTGTTCAAGGAGTGTTGCAGTTTTTGTTTTATTTTTCTTTCTTAAAAAAGAAAACAAATGTGTGTGTTGGCGGGGGCAATGCAGGGAAGAAGAATGAGTTTGAGACTTGTGAGTAAGCAAAGAGTTGAAGACACCAAAGAGAGAGATGTGTGATGGGGTGGGGTAGGATGGCTCAGAGGAACTGGCTTTGGCAGTGGGAATGAAGAGGGAACCCCATTCAGCCCCGTAGGAAAAGCCTCTGTGATTGGAGGTGTGTGTGGTTGTGTATGAGGAAGGGGTAACTACGATTCCCGCAGACATTACCATGTATGACGAAGCTACTTCCCCTCACGCGGTCTGAGGCGCACACGCGCGATTCACGGCCACGCCCGCACACATTAGACACACACACAGGGCATCCGAAGGTCCGGTTGCCATGGCGAGCAGGAGTGCGTGAGCCCAGCCTCCCCTCCGCCCGCGGCTGAGCCCGGTCAACTCCAGCGCTGATTGGCCGCTTCCTCCTTATTATGCAAATTATTTGCGTAGACTCCAAGGCCAGCTCCCTGACGTCATCAAGCACGGGGTCTGGAGCTCTGGGCTCGGCTCTGGAAGAGCTCGGGAGGGAGCCCAGAGAGCGCCGCGGGGACTTCAAGCCAGACCCCAGAGTCCCGCCGGCTGTCCGGGCCTGCCACGCCCACGGCCCCGCCCCTTTCTAGTCCGCCCCACCCTCTATACTCCCCTCCACCAGGGACCCCTCCCTCAGTGCAGCCCCCCGTCCTCCCCACCCGGGCCCCGCCCCCTTCCTCTTGGCCCTCACCACGGGTCCAGGGAGGGGACGGCAGGACCTTCGGGACTGGGGAGGGGGGAGGGCGGACGGGGCGGGGATCTGGACGCAGCGCCTGGAGGGTCTGCGCCGCCCGCCGGCTCTGGCCCGCGCCTGGGTTTCAGCACCGCGGACAGCAGCGTCAGCATGAGCGGGCTAAACCCAGGTCCTGCTGTGCCCATGAAGGACCACGACGCCATCAAGCTCTTCGTGGGGCAGATCCCGCGGGGCTTGGACGAGCAGGACCTCAAGCCGCTGTTCGAGGAGTTCGGCCGCATCTACGAACTGACGGTGCTGAAGGACCGGCTCACCGGCCTCCACAAAGGTGCGCGGGGTCAACCTAGCCCAGCCCAGCCCAACCCTACCCAGCCTTGCCCGACTCTGCCCAGCCTTGTCCAGCCCCAGTCGGATTAGAGCTCAGCTCAGCCCAAACTCCAGCCTCAACTGCAACCCCAATCCTAGCCCTACCAGTCCAACACCAGTCCAATACCAGCCTCACTTCAACCCAGTGTCCTTCAAGATCACAGAGCCCCCAACCCAGAATTTCCTCTGACATGCTCCCTCTGATCATCACTCTGATCCCCTAGCATGTTCTGCACTCTAACCTTCACTTCCTACCCTTCATCTCTTACATGCCAATGTCCCCACCTTTCAGTTGGACCTCCCCCCATCCCTTCCATCAGACATCCCAAATCCTGAAATTTGGAATCTTATTCCACCTTTTAGGTCTCTAACACCCTCAATTTTCCAAATGCTGGACCTAATAATTCCTGAACATCCCCATCTTGTGCCACCCACTCAGGCCTAACCACCCACATACATACCTTGGACTTGCACCCCTCATTCTGGCCTCCAACCCCAGCCAATCTCCGGGGCCTTCTTTCGACTCTTAGACTGCCAACCCAAAATGTCACAGATCCAAACTCTCCCTTCTTCAGAACCCAGGCCTAGTTAACTCACAAGGTCCAGTTCCCCTCCCAGGAAGCTCTCAGCTCCAAAGTCCACCCCCAGATTTAACAGTAAATCTCTCCTACCCCCTGCCAAGATCCTAACATTGTCTGCCTCTTTTGATTTGAGTTCAGAACCCTGACCTCAGCTCAAAACTTCCACCACCTCGTGCCCCCTCTTCCAAGGTTTCTTCTTAGCTGAACCCACATTTCTTTCATCCTCTGATTTCCCCAATCTTATGCCTCACCTTTGCTCCTCCCCAGTCCTCCTATGGCTTCACACTTTCACTGCCTCACAGGCAACCCCTCAACCAGAGCCTGTGGACCAAAGCCTTAGGGTGGGTCAGGTTGAAGAGGCTCTTCAACCTGAAAGGGATCTTCTCCCTACCCTTGCTAGAGAGACAGAGACACCATAGTCCTGTCCAGCCACACCCCTTTCTTTCTGTAGAGAGAGGGAGGAGGCTTGTTTACATGCAGAAAAGTCTGTCCAGGCTAGCTGGAGTAAGAGAGCCAGAGTCATATGTCATACATGGGTGGGGGAAGGAAATGATTTGAGGAGAAACACCTTTATTTCTCCTTACCTTCACCATAATGCAGTTTCAGGATTTGGCTGGGAGTAGGGCAGGCTTACCTCCTCCATGATCTTCCTAGGAGAGAAGTGGTGGGCCCCGGGTAACAGCTAAAGGTCTTTTCCTAAGGGCTGAGAGCTGTAATCAGGCTGACACATCTTTTCAACAGGGAGGTATTGGGGGAGTCTCTAGGCACACTAATGTAGGGGCTTTAGGAAAATAAATGCCCACAGAAGATCTAGGACCAATAAGGTTGCAGTACATCTTCTACCCTTTGGCCTGGAGTTATAGTAAATGGAGCATAAAAGGACAAGACTATACAACCCAGATTCCTGCTAATGTAGTCTAACCACCCGACTGTTCTTCCATCCACAGAAATTTGTTTTCTCATTTTCTAGACATTTATTTCAGTATGTAAATACAAGCTAATCTCTTTGGGCCATCTTTACAATAAATGAAGTATATAGCATATCTTTAATTCCCACTTTTCTTACTCTTTTCACCATCAGTCTCTGAACTGTTTCCTCATGCCCTCCCTCCCTCGTTTCCTTTATTCTTCTCCCTCCAATTAGTTCCAATTTTTCCTGTTTTTTTTTCATTCCTCTATCTTTACATGCTTCTCTGTCTTTCCATCCCTCCATTCTTCCATCCCCATCCCAAGTAGTCCACACAGGCTCCTCTAGCATCAACTGGACCCCTGAACCCTTCAAAGAGGGCTCCAGCCCCTGCCCAGCTCTGGTGTTAGCTGATATAGCATGGTGGCAGAAGATGGGAGCAGATATGTAAGCAAAATCAGATGTTTGGTGATTTAGCTCCAAACCAGCCTGCCACTTTCTAAGGCAGTGTTGCCTTACAAGATGACCAGGGAGGATCTCCAAGTCAATATCTTCCCTACCCTCTCCCCAACAACAGTGATGTCCAAAAGCCAGAGTGACTCAATTTTCCCTTTGGTGGCTAGGTACAGAGGGAGGCAGCCACAGTGCTTTGAAAACAACTTCAATCTAGGAGTTAAGAGACCTCAACCCTATCCTGACACTGACACACTCTCTGAGCTTCAGGTTTTCCTATTGATACAATAAGTGTTTCTCCCAAAACTTTTCTAATGTCCCTTTCACTCAACAGATGGCAGCTATCCACCCACCTTAAGGAGTCATCCACATAAAAGTAATAGGAGAATATGTTCCCATTTGCCTTTCTAGTCTACTGAGGTCTAACTGGAAAACTGTGCCAAGCTCCTTCCCACATTCACTTTCTCTTCCTTCATTCAGTCTTCCTACTTCCTATACTCAAAGACTCTTTTTAGAAACAGATCTTATATTGCAATACTACTTAAAACCTTTCAGAGGCTCTCTACTGCTCTTAGGAAAAAGTTCAAAATCCACACTGAGGTGTACAAAGCTATAGAGGACCTAATCCCTGCATATCTAACTGGCTACTCTGCTCCTATTACCAATTTCCAACCATATTAACCTTCCATCCCCAACACACTGAATTCTTTTTCTAAATTTACTTTTTATTTTTAAAATACTTTATTTATTTTTAGAGAGAGGGGATGGGAGGGAGAAAGAGAGGGAGAGAAACAACAGTGTGTGTTTGCCTCTTGCACACTCCCTACTGGGAACCTGGCCCACATCCCAGGCATGTGCCCTGACTGGGAATCAAACTGGCAACCCTTTGGTTCACAGGCCTGCACTCAATCCACTGAGCTACAACAGCCAAGGCCCAACACACTGAATTCTTGACTGAGTCTTCATATGTGCTATTCCCTCTGCCTGAAATAAGCATCACCGTCCTTGTCACCTGGTTAAACTCTATTTATTATTGAGAACTCAATGTGCTCTTTGAGACATTGCTCACCTCCTGGGACCCAGTTGCATACCCCTCATGATCCTTTACATAATCCCCATGAGGGCAGAGAATGTGTTTATCTTGTTGCCACTTTATCCCCAAGCCCATCATAATACCCCACCAAAATGAGTAAGTAATATCAATAAATATTCTCTGAATGAGGGAGTGCTCAATGCCTGTTGGAAAGAAAGAGACCCCTGTCTCAGTGCTTCATAGCAGGATATAGATTCTGTGGCTGAACAAAGAAATATAGGACTGCCCCTTTGGTTCAATCCAGACCACTCTGCCCTATATATACTGGCTCTTTTAAAGAAGTCAGATTTTGGCCTTGGCTGGTGTGGCTCAGTAGATTGAGGGCCAGCCTGTGAACCAAAGGATCCCCAGTTCCATTCCCCACCAGGGGACATGCCTGGGTTGTTGGCCAGGTCTCCAGTAGGGGGTGCATGAGAGGCAACCACACATTGATGTTTCTCTCCCTCTCTTTCTCTTTCTTATCCCCTCTCTCTAGAAATAAATAAATAAAATCTTTTTTTAAAAAAAGAAGTCAGATTTGGGGCACAATGACACTTTAAGAGGCCCTATCTTGAAGCCTTGGAAGTGCTGACCCATCAAGCTCCTTGGACAGGACTGGAGGTCACTGGAAGTCCCTACCTGCAGAAAGCCTTTAAACCAGCCTCATCTTCCAACACTCATATTAACCTATTCCTCAGCTTCAAATGTAGAGGAAGAAAATGTTAAGAAATTGTGGGGGATTCTGGGCTTGGATCCTAACTCTCTTCCTCCTCTTATGCCTCCTCCCACTGAAAGTAAGTTGGGAAGAAATCAAGGCCGATTCTGGGAGATTCTGTAAATATAAATCCAAAAAGGAAGGGAAAGGCTGGGGTTAATGATGTAGACAAAGCAACTTGGGAAGGTTTAATCCCAACAGGATTTATGGCTAGAGTGGTGAGGAGAGATGTGGGATTGTATGAGCATGTGACTAGGTGTGAGTACATGTGTTTCCTAGGTAGGAGGCCAAGAGCAAATGAAAAGGAGTCAGAGCCTGAAACATGGGCACCCCTCCCTTCAGAGAAGGTAGCAGTGGCCTTGAGTTGGTCAACTTAATGGGGTCTTTCCAGGAAGGGTACTCAGGAGTTTCAGGAAACTCCCTGAGCCAGCCTCTTCCTCCCCAGGCTGTGCCTTCCTCACCTACTGCGCCCGGGACTCTGCTCTCAAGGCCCAGAGTGCACTGCACGAGCAGAAGACCCTGCCAGGGGTAAGTCCACCAGTGTTGGGGGGTGGGGATCACCTCAGGCTGGGGACATGCCCTACATGCATGGTAAAGCAGCATGTAGGAGCTGGATTGGAATCAGAAACTAGCAGCAGAATCATCTTTGAAGAAAAAGGTTTACTTATGCCATTAACAGCTACAGGTTTTTTATTATATGCAGTCATCTGGCTCAAAGAAATGGGCACGAGGCCCTTGGGCCAAGTGTTCCTCCCTATCTTTCAGGAGAGGCATCAGTGTTTTTGGCTATACAATTTGTTCACCTTGGCTAAAATCATGGCTTCAGGTGTCATTTTTCACTGGTATGAGTATGTATGCAGATATAAGTTAGGGGCTCTGCTGGCCTTCGTATCCCATTTTCTCCATTACTAGGGTCCTTGATGGCACGTCCCTCTGGTTCTCTTCCTGTAATGTTTTTTGGGATGCCTTGACTCACCAAGATTGCCTTCCCTCTACATCTCAAACACTTGGCTAAAGTTAAGAGAGAGCTGATTCTATAAGCAGCTAGACCACTATGGATTAGTAGCACCTAATATGGCCTTGACTAAAGGCTAACCACTGAACAAAAGGCAAAGTGGGATCTACTGACCATGTGGCAGGAAGAAAGTGGTGACTGTTAGGAACCTAGCATAAGTTCACCAAGAACCAATTATACTACCTATCCTCATTTTCTCTTGTCCAAGGAGTGATATGT